GGTTCACAGTAACTCAGGATAAAGGAAGAATTTGACATTTGAAATGTACTTAATTATTTGACATCTTTCAATAATATCAACGATATGTTTTTAAAAAGTTGGCAGACTTAACACCATCTACAGGAGTTGTATTTCTCTCTTCCAAAATACACAGATGGGAAGTGACTGAACTGCACAATTCATTCTCAAACATTCCCATAGGACTTTTTTCCTTATTAAAGCAGCTGAGTAAATAAATAAAGTATATAAATAAAGTATATAAATATATCTGTTGGGGTTGATATTTTTAAGTTGCTAAACATGTGTGATATATATGGTGGAGTTGCACTGTATTGCCCTTCATCCTGACTTGGTTAACAGGCCCGTTGGACTCAGTCTCAGGGGGATGAATTTGTTTAGTGCAGAATGAGTGGAGAAGTGACAGTCCTCTTCCCGAGAGGTTAAGTGCATCCTGACCTTTTGGTTTCCCTGCTCCAGACAGCCTAACATTTTCTGAAGTGGTCCCCCAGCCAGGCTGATACCAAGTGATACTACTTTTGGCTCCCCTTTTGTGCAGTTCTTTGGCATTTTAGTCTTTATTTGATTTGAGTTCACAGAGGAGAAAGACACATGCAGCCTGATTTAAACCCAAGCTTGACATTTGCTTAATCAACTCAGCTGTAAAGATTATTCTATTGTGTCTTTTGCAGATATTCCTTTTTTGTTTGTTCTGCACGTGCTAGCTAGTTAAGTCACCTTTGCACGCCTCAGTTCCCGAAGGCATTGATCAATAGCTGATGGGCTAATTGTGGTATCTTTTAATGCTGTATCCTGAATAATTACATTTTCTTTGTTTAACACTGTTAAATGTGACCAGCCTTTTAAATTAAAAGAGAACATTCATTTGGTAACACTGCAAGGCTAATGTGACCTCTTTTCACAGAGCTTGATATATTCACGGTGTAATTAATTTGGTTACATTAGCTGTTAGCTTCCATGTCTATGGATTATTTATTTAAAGCTGTCGCTGGTATGCTAAGGAAAAGTATGAATGTCTTTGCCCTTTTTTACTTCTGTAGAACTTCGTAGCCGTGCGCAACTGAGCGACAACTCTGACCGAAGGCTGATGTATTTTACATTGCAAACTATTACAATTAATCCTAAAATGTATGTTATGTGACATATATTTCACATTCATTTTCACCCAATGTTGAGATAAGTTTCTGTACTTCATTGATGAAAATAAAACGTATGACATGTATACTACCATCTGTATATCTAATATATATATATATGTGTAAATACTATGTAAAAAGTATTATTTTATGCTAGGAAAATCAACCAATACTTTTGACATCTAAAATGTCATCTATAACATATGTAATGCTCCGTTCAATATACTGGGCCAGTGATTGAACTGCAGCCATGGTTGAAAAAGTATACAAACAAGTTGCACATTAATAATTCATTTATTTTATAATTTAATAATCAGACTGAATTGAGTCTAATGCAACATTGACCACATCTCCACTGGTTCATTCAGCCAGTCATTTCCAGACCAGTGGGAGACACTGAGAGCAATGGTCGTGGTATCACAGAGATGCATGGTGTATGCATGTATATCATAATAATAATAATAATAATATAATAATAGTATATATAGATGTATAGTGTACAGCTGGCACTCTGAGAGCCAGACATGAAGAATTGATGGCAGAAACCATTTGGTCACTCTGTGCTCTGCTTTGGACGTGGTAAAGGTGGACTCTGAAGTGCATCAGTGGGCTGAGTCAATTTAAGTCACTCAGACTAAACTAAATCTCTTATAAAAAAAATATGTTATAGTTCTTTAAGTGACTTTATTCTTTCTGTGGGATTGATCAAATAATCTTTTAATACATTTATTGGCTCATATGAGCGGCATATCACCAGCCTCTTGAACTCCTGGCACGCACAAACATGCGAAGGTTATCCAACTTGCTCTGTTTAACGCCTGATTTCTCTCCTTTTTTCTATATTTCTGAGTCTCGACTTCAATATTTAAAGTGTACCTTATAGATAATCAGGGATGTAAATAAGATATTTGCCACAAATGAATGATTAAATTGACCTGCAGCAAATTTTAGTAGCATTCCAGTCACATATTTTTCAGCACTCTTGTTACTCCTACTCTCAGGCATAATTTATGATTTAACGTTAGGGAGTTGTCTTTCTGTTAAGTTTCTGTCCTTATTTCCTCAAACAAACTCACATTCACTTCTTTTTTAACACCGTCTCTGTAGTACTTATTTCTGATTGCATTTCCCTGTGCCTGTCGCACATACAAAATGAACCATGGCTTTCATGTGACCTCAACATGTTGTGGGAAATCTGTCCTGTGTGTGACCCACCATAAAAACCCATACACTACATGTAGTTTCTCATCTCGTCTGACATGTATTGTAAAAATAGCTTTGAATTTACACTCCTCCTGTTCTGTCTGTCACTTGGAATGAATGTTGTAAAATGGTAATTTGACTTGTATTTTGCATTAAAGTGGCTGTCAACAGTACATCTGATGGATTCAGCAACATGTTAAGCAGTCAATTATTCAGTTACTTTTCTGCTGTCTAGACCTGAGAAAAAAAAGCCATCATGGTTTCTGGGGTGTTACATTTGTCAAGGAAACATGTCTCTAACAAGGGAAACTCATATTTTGAATAGAGCCATTTAATATACAATAACTGAAATAATGTTTTTGCTCACCCAGTATGGGGTGAGGGGGTCTCTACTCAGGGCCATCTAATCTCTGTACTCCCAAAGCGAGAGCTGTGTCCAGGTCCTCGGCAGTAAGTCGGACCCATTTCCGGTGAGGGTTGGCCTCCGCCAGGGCTGCGCTTTGTCACCAATCCCGTTTGTAATATACATGGATCGGATTTCGAGGCGTAGTCATGGGGGAGGGGGTCTGCAGTTCGGTGGACTAAGGATTGCACCACTGCTTTTTGCAGATGATGTGGTTCTAATGGCTTCATCGGTCTGCGACCTTCAGCACTCACTGGATCGGTTCGCAACCGAGTGTGAAGCGGCTGGGATGAGGATCAGCACCTCCAAATCTGAGGCCATGGTTCTCAGCAGGAAACCGATGGACTGTCCGCTCCAAGTAGGGAATGAGTCCTTACCCCAAGTGAAGGAGTTCAAGTATCTCTGGGTCTTGTTCTCGAGTGAGGGAACAATGGAGCGTGAGATGGGCCGGAGAATCGGAGCAGCGGGAGCGGTACTGCAGTCGCTTTACCGCACCGTTGTGACGAAAAGGGAGCTGAGCCAGAAGGCAAAGCTCTCTGTCTACCGGGCCATTTTCGTTCCTACCCTCACCTATGGTCATGAAGGATGGGTCATGACCGAAAGAACGAGATTGCGGATAAAAGCGGCCGAGATGGGTTTTCTCCGCAGGGTGGCTGGTGTCTCCCTTAGGAGATAAGGTGAGAAGTTCGGTCATCAGGGAGGGACTCGGAGTTGAGCCGCTCCTCCTTCGCGTCGAAAGGAGCCAGTTGAGGTGGTTCGGGCACCTCAATCAATCAATCAATCAATCAATCAATAGGATACGGCTGTAATAGGCCTAAGGCCTTTTAGTCGCTCATAAATAAATGAGTAGATCACTGATTATTTATTTACTATGGATGCTGGCAACAGTCACATAGTCCAAAGTGAAGGTGATGTTTGACCAGTAGTGGTCGAGGCGGGATTTGAGACAGTTAGCCGTCTTGGATGTGACAACGCTTTCTGGCAGATCATTCCACAAGTCAACCACACGCAGGCTGAAAAAGTTGCGGCGGATACTCAAGTACTGTTTCTTCAACTTGAGGCAGTGTCCATGAGTTATGGTGTTATAATCCCGTTGTAGTGGGCATGATGTTTTGTAGATGTTGTGGAGATATTTGAAAACTTCGATCATATCTCCCCTCGCCCTTTTATAATACATACTCGGGATTTTAAGACTTTGCAGTCGTTCTTGATATGGTAGGTCCTTTAGTTCTGGAACCAGCTTCGTTGCCCTTCTCTGTATTTTCTCGATGAGCTCAGCATCCTTTTTGTACATGGAGGACCAAGCGACATTCCCATACTCGAGGAGTGGCCGTACAAGAGAGATGTATAAACTACGTACTACGTCAGAGTCCAAATAAGTGTATGATCTGCGGATCATTGCTAGGATACCATTCGCTTTGTTACTTGCCCGACGGATATGGTCACTAAATGTCAGGGTATTGTCAACATTCACACCAAGGTCCTTTTCATTCTGAGTCTCGGATAGGTTTATAGTGTTTGAATTATCACCCATATTATACTCATATTTTTTATTCAGAAAACCTAAGTGCCTAAAAACCTAATTACTTTGCTGCATTGAATTTGAGCTGCCAACACTCTGATCATCTTTGTATTTCTCTGAGATCTGACTGGAGTTTTTCTGCATCCTCTTTACACTTAATTTCCTTGAAGACTTTTGTATCATCTGCAAACATCTGGACCCTGGAGCTCACATTATCGGGTAGGTCGTTGATGTAGAGGACAAACAGTGCAGGACCCAGGACACTACCTTGTGGAATTCCACTGAGAACTGGGCACCATCCAGATGGTTTCCCGTTAACAAAGACTCTCTGTCGCCTGTTTTTGAGAAAGTCTGAGATCCAGTTAGGATGCCACCTGGGCGCCTCCCCCAGGCACGTCCAGCTGGGAAGAGACCAAGGGGTAGACCTAGGACCAGATGGAGGGATTATATCTCTTCGCTGGCCTGGGAGCGCCTTGGGATCCCCCAGTCAGAGCTGGTTGATGTCGCCAGGGAAAAGAAAGTTTGGGGCTCTCTGCTGGAACTGCTACCCCCGCGACCCGACCACGGATAAGCGGGAGAAGATGGATGGATGTTTTTGCTTATTTGAGTAAAAAAAAACATAAGCTTTTAGTTAGAACTATTCGTTGGATTATTTAAACAAACGTTATAATTTCTCACAACTGTGTTTGGCATGTACATTTCATTTTAAGTATGCATTTCTTTGTTTGCCATAAATGTGTGCACTAACTAAGCAGTGTGTTATTCATTAGCCAATCGGTGGCACTGATCAGTTTTTATATGGAAGTAGAAGAGTCGCTTGGAAAACTGCTAGATGATTTTATCCTGAAAACACTTCTGCAGAGGTTATACCATCTGCCACCGATACGCTTTTACTGAACTGTAACACAGGTATTAACATTGAATAAACCAAACACATAAAATCGCAAAAATAGAGTCCAATTTTGCCTTCAGAAGCCACCACTCTGATCCGTGTCCTCGTAGCAGAGCACATCATTTCATAATGTTTTTGAATGGGTTTATTTGTTGCTATGGCATTAGCTGTTACTTAAAATTCAGAGGCAGAGTGGAAATGCTGTTTCCATTTCTGTCTCTGTAACAACGAGACAAGCCTCACTGGGAAAAGCATAAATGGCAGACACTTGACAAGTCTCCTTCTTCAAACACGCATATATTACAGTAAAGTAACTACCTGTACCCACACACAAATATAATTGCATACTGAACATGGCAACATATACTGAATCTCTGGATTTTTGCAGTCTTTTCTAAGTGCTTTACTGTACCACAGAGACATTTTATGGGAGCAGCAGCACACAGAGATTAAGACAACATATATTTCATGGCTTTTCATTTCCGCTGGATTAAATCCAGTCCTTCTGAGTTCCCTCATCCCACACCAATCCTTGTTTTTGATCTCTGCCTTTGTCAAAGAAAATAACACAAGTGTCCCATTGACATTTAAATGGCCTTGAAATCCTCTTTCTTTGTCTTTGAAGAAGCGTTCCAACATTCTTCGGGATCAAGATTTCCTTTTTTTAGCATGCATGATTAAGCCTGTATGGATGATATGCTTTAGGTATCTAAAGAGCTATGGCACAGCGCTGTTTGATATAAAAAAAAAAAACAAGATGGGACATTTACGTGTACACAGTACTTCCATTATAATTATTATGTTGTTTGCTTTTTCTCTTTTACACTCACTGTTCTTTAAAAGTTTGAATCAGTTTCTTTCAGTGGAAGCGTCTGCATTTCATGAGTTTCTGGAAAGCTTGTTTGAATTCATCGTTGAATACGGTGTAGATAACAGGATTGATGAGGGAGTTTAGGTATCCCAGCCAGGTAAATACATCAAAGAGCACTGGATCAAACCAGCACTCTTTACATATGGCCGTGACGAGTGTGCCCACAAAGAACGGGAGCCAACAAACAATGAAAGCGCCCAGGATGATGCCCAGTGTCTTGGTCGCTTTCCTCTCCCGAGCCGCACACAGGCGTTTCCTCTCCAGCACGCTGTCTGCCAGCTTCACTTTCACGCTATTCATGAACAGAGGTGATCCTCCCCCTCCTCCCACATTGCCAGAGTGTAGGTGGGCTTCCTGGTTGGAGGCAGAATTTAGAGAACAGAGAGAGGAGCCTGCAGAGGTCTGGATGAGCTGTGCTGTGGTGAAACGCTTCCCAGAAGACGACGGCGTTTTAAAGATGCGGGAGCGGGCGGCTACATAGATCCGTCCGTAGAGGATGATGAGAAGCACCGTGGGGACGTAGAAGGCGCCGAAGGTGGAGTATAGGGTGTAGGAGATCTGATCTGTATTCACCAAGCACTCTGTGAGCTCCTCGTGGGCTTTGGACTGCCGCCAGAAAAGTGGAGGCATGGAAATAGATATGGAGATCACCCACACTACCCCGACCATGACCGCTGCCCGGCGCATAGTGCGGCGTTTTGTGTACTCCAGTGCGTCTGTGATGGCCCAGTAGCGGTCCAATGCAATCACACACAGGTGCAAGATGGAGGCCGTGCAGAAGGTGATGTCAGACGACAGCCAGATGTCACAAACAATCTGCCCCAGCGACCACGTCTTGCTGACAGTGTAGACGATGCTGATCGGCATTACTAAAATAGACACCAGCAGGTCTGTGACGGCCAGGGAGCCGATCAGGAAGTTGGCAGGTGTGTGGAGCTTCCTGGTCAGATAGATGGTGGCGATGACGAAGGCGTTTGAAAGCACGGTAGCCAAGGTGACGAGGGCTAACACGGCAGAGAGGGAGATCTGGAAACCGAGAATTGTTGCCTCACTCCAGGGTGGAGCTGTAATGGTGTCAGGGTTTTCTGTGGAGTTGCTGGTAAAGTAGTCCAGTGAGCTGTTATCCAGCTCCATCTCGCCTCCGCTTCTTTTAAACCCTATTTTTTTTCCAAGGTTTAAACCAGCCTCATTACATCAGTTCAGGCATGGCGCTTAAAAAGGCTGTACAGTGGCATGGCATTTTTGGTTTGGGCTGAAGAAAAATGTCTTGTCTTTTATGCATCTTATTTCACATTGCAATATCCCTATTGCTATTTTATATCAACCATATAACAATCATCTAGTTCCATCCACAACTAATGCTTCTGTAGTTTAAGCCAGCTAATATTTGTATTTATGTCTAATATGTCCATTTAGTCTCTCTCATATTGATTCGCCTCACTGGTGTAGCTGCTGGAGAGAGGAATCCTAATTTGTATTCAGCTCCTGTCAGGCTGGCACTCCTTTTCTCTCTTCTCAACGCTCTTATCTCATCTCCAGCTAGCAGCCAGCCGGCAACAACACCTTCAGACCAAACCTTCCTATCTATCAAATGCTTTAATGGACTCCTCCTTTTCAATAACGCTATGCTGGGAGCTGCATGTAGGAAGATGATGACGAAAGATACACAAGGCTTGCTTGTTGTCTCTCTTCTTATCTGTACCCTGTCCACGTGAAGCCTTCTAAATTGAGATTTGTGCTGAAACTTGGCTAGTGTCTTCGATGATATTAGAAAGCCAGAACATTACAGTTACATGATGCAGAGGAGGACAAACATCCAGGAATCCTTTGGTTGATTTTTAATCATCTCGTAGCTTTTAGTCGTTGTATAGAAGCCGATCAGAAAAGCCCTTTTTTCAGGTACTGGGTGTGTGAAAGCTTTCCCTCTTCACTTTTAGAAAGCCTTTCAGAAGCAGCGTCCATACAGCGAGGAAGGATTTGTCATGGAGCTTTCTCTGCAGCACGTTCATCCTATAGGTGAGATAAATAAGAGAAGAGCAAAATAGAAAAGAGAAGATTAGTTCTATTGAACTTTACCATCATCCCCTCCCCCGTACTGGATACAGGCATCCACAAACTATCCTATTACATACAACACACAACACATAATGTTACAATCTCAGGCACTTAGGATGTTGGACCCAATTGCAGACAGGGAGACAGAGGTAAAGTATTGTAAGATACTTTATTTTTCCATGACTGGCAAAAATGAACAAAAAGGTAACCACCAAAACTCTAGTCGAGATGACAAAAAACAGAGAACAAAAAATGAAGGCGCTCACGCAGTGAGGAATCAAAAACCTTTCATGAGTACCAGGAGCATAGACCTTACCATGACAATAGACCAGACGAACTGACACTGAACACTGGGAGACAGGGGAATTTAAACACAGGGCAACTAGACACAGGTGGGAACAATCAGGGGCGGGGCTGACACTGATGAGCCACACAGGAGACACACAAGGAGTGACAGGTGAAAACAATCAGGAAATTAGACACACCAGGGAACTAACGACAGACATGAAAACACAGGGAAAAGAGACCAGACAATATACAGGGAGGAAAACATGACAAGGAGAACGGAAAAACACCCACACCTAGAAACGTGACATGACATACTAATCCTGACACATAAGGGGAAATAAAGGAACATGAACAATGGAAACTCAACAGCGACCTGTAAACAGAGCATTATGACTTGATACAGGGACTTAACAGCCACTCACTTCCAGCTGTTTTGTAGATTTATCACATTTCACCAAAGTTACACAGTCTATACTAAAATTATTATTTGAGATTGTTGCGGGAATAAATGATATGTTTTGCCAGAGCGACTACTTTCCCTAATTGACAGTTCCCAGAAAAATGAAAAGCATGTTGGTTGACTAGTTCATCATTTCCTCTCTGCTCCATCTCTGTCCGACTTCCTCTGGATTTAATTTGGATGGACTGGAAATAAATATGTAAGAACAAAAATCTAATATTTTTTGTTTAAAGCACACAAATCTCATTAACCGAGAAAACCGTCTTTCTCATTTGGAAAGCCTTACGGACCTTTGGACTTGTGATTGATAAACTCCACTTCCTTCACATTTACTGTTAATGATGCTCAGGAAATACAAAGACGCTGACCATATTGCCTCCAGGTAACAGAAGCTGACTTACTTTCAAGTTATAATGAACGAGATAAGAGCTGAAATGTGGAAATGGGGTATGGTGTACCAGTGGGCATAAGGACTGTTACTGTAATCACCATAGAAGGCATTCCATTTCCTCCAGCTTTCCATATGTTCGGTTTGCTTTAATGTATTATTTAAGAGCAGCAGAAAGGATAATAACCACTTGTAATTCAGAGGAAAAGTAAACAAAAAAAACGTAATTCAATTACACTACTACAGGATACATTTTGTAACCATATGTCGCTGTATTCACTGTAATCTGTAAAATAGGAATAGATTAGGGAGTGTAATGTGATTATTCTAATACTGGCTCTCAGGTGAGCATTCGAATGATTACAAACCAAACTGCAGTACACGTACAAAGAAACGGACACAGAATGATGGTACGCATCCAGGCGAAAATGTGCAGCGTACTGGAACATCCACACAAACAGTGGTCTAACTTATAACTGCGATATAAAGTTAACTAATGCTGCTCAACAGGCTTGACACTTTATAATTTCATTGTAATGAAAGCTTTAGCGCAAGTTCAATAAGGAAGACCTAACACGAGTCACTTACACGTAGGGATGGGTATCGTTTGAAATTTATCGATTCCGATTCCGGTTCTGCTTATCGATTCCGGTTCTTATCGATTCCCCGTTTCGATTCCAAAATTGTAAAATAAAGAGGTCAAACGTTTAGATAACAAAAATATATTTATTCTTAAAAGCTTTAACTGAAATTGTTACTAAAAAATATACATGCAATACAAATGTATTGCACAATAGCTGTGCTTTATTTTAACTGAGCTATGCCTGTGGCAAGCTATTAACAGGCATTACACTTTGCCTTTTCTTTTTCTTTTTTAGTGTAGTGGAGCCTCACTTCAGAGTGTTTACCGCGACCCATCTTTGGTGTTATGAAGTGACTGAGCTCGTGAAATGTCTACGGGAGGGCGGGGGAGCATCGCTGCGGGGCAACTGTGGACCTCTGTCGCCTGTCAGCGCAATTTATATGATGCCGTTTAAAAAAATGAAGGGCGGTGCCGGACGTCAGCGTACCGAGCCGGCCGTCAACGGCCCGCTGACGACCGGCCGTTCTGTGATTCTCCAGGTCCGCCCTGTATTCCACCGGGTCACCGCAGCACCGCGGTGCAGACGGACCCGCTGGAATACAGGGTCTACCGCGTTTAGGAACCGTTAAGCAGAACCGAAATTGTGTATTTTGTATGGGTACCCGGTACCCGGCATTTTCTTATCGGTTCTCATCTGGAACCGAGTTTCGGTTCCCAACCCTACTTACACGTCACTCTATGGCTCCCTTCCCCCCTCATTAAATATGAGGGCGTCACCCCTCAGCAGCCAATCGCTGCACATGCTAAATTCCTTAAATGCCTGCTCTTCCTCCCTGTCAGTTGTCATTGCAGATGATCACACGCAATGGTAGTTGCAATACAATACTCCTTTTCGTGATAAAAACCGTAAGAAACAACTAGCTCAAGATGTCCAACTCGGACAATTCGGAACACGAACCTTCTCTGGAAGTCTCCGATCCCGGTTCGGCTCCCCACAGCGGCTTATCAACAGAGGCAGACTTCCTCATCGCCCGGCTCCTGCAGCAGGGATTTCCCACAGCCCCAGGCCTCACTCTCTCTCAGCTGCGAGAGCTCTCGGACCAGGTCTCCAGCGTAGCTCCCCAGTCCGGGGCAGCAGCTCCAGTCAGCTCCCCAGAGAGCAGGACGAGGCCGCAGCCGCGGAGGTAAAAAAAAAGGGCAGGAAGTCGAGCCCTCCAGGATCCCGTCCCCCTCCAAAAAAGCCACCCCTTCTCAGGCTCGCCAGTCCGGGAGCGTCACTAACACACCCCATGGAGAGTAGCGCGGCCGGCTCCCTGCAATCCCTGACTAGCTCCATGATAGCTATCGATGCTCGCCTCCAGGCTCTGGAAGACTCCGCCACAGGAGCTTCAACTTCCGATGCACTCAGGTACTAGTTTTAACGAAAATGTTTGCACTCACCCTTACACAGGGTTGGGTTGTAACGGAATACATGTAACGGTGTTACGTAATCAGAAGAAAAAAGAAAAAAAAATCAGTATATTCAGCTGGTGTTACATTTGAAAAACGAGTAATCTGAGTGTAGTTACTTTCGTAAACCTGAAGTGAATACTTATTGGAATTATTGGTGGAAAGTGTCCTCACAATATGTAATATTCATTACCGGCAGAACCGTGTGCACAGCGCTGCAGCTATCTGTGAGCGAGAGATGCAGCGTGTCCGTGAGGCCCCGCCCCGCACGCAGATGAGAGAGAGAGAGTTCTCTTTCAAAACATATTGGAAGGTAGAAACGGAGATGTTTAGATAAAACGTGGAAGATAACGTTTATGTAGCATTTATTTATTGTCGAAATGATGACATTTATAACGGGATCAAATCTAACTGAATGGCCTGCTGCTGCCGAATGCATGGGGCAAGTAACTGGGAAAAGTTTTAAAAGTTATTACATCGTTTCAGATAATAAATAATAATGATAATGCATTCTATTTAGGGGGGCCTTTCAAAGCACCCAAGGACACCTTACAATGCATAAACTTTTCCAAGGAAAGGTTTTAAGACAGTACAAAGAATGCAGTCTGGGTGAGTTTTTCTTTTTATGTGCGGTGCAGATGAGAGAGCTGTCCAGAATGACACTAAAATGTTGTGTTTGTGCTCTTCATAAGCCATTAAAACAGTAAAATACGTGTCTCCCGTTCACCAAAACATACCCATCTGTTATGGAAAATAAAGTATTCTAAAGAAGAGGAGAAAAGATAAGAAGAGGAGGAAAGAGAAGAAAGGAAGTATTCTAAAAGTAATCTGCCACGGCGGGATTGTGGTTAGTTTCTGATGCGCAGAAGAAAAATCTGGCCCACCCTATATTTTTACAGGCCCACCCTAAAGTACATTTCTGCCTACGCTACTGGTCCGCACAGCAGCAACAACCAATCACATGAATCTCTTGCCCCCGACACACAAAGCAATAGCAATGTTAAAACTAAGTAAACTGGAAGAAAAAAGAAAAAAATCCCCAACAGGCGAAAACCTACCAGTTTCACCCACTGTCTCTGCCTCCTCCCTCCATGCCTCGCTCCTCTGGTTTGTATCCCGGTAGATGAACAGAGACTGATCATACAGCACCGGGTGATTCACTACCGCTATAATGAATTTTCCCTCAAATTTTTGGAATATGAGGAATTACCTGCGTAGTCTCTCCCAGCATACACGCGGTCTGATTGGCTAGCGCTTGTACTGGCAGATTTGCATAAACGGGATTTCATTGGCTGACGCTTCTGCCGAGGCGCCAAAAGTTGAACATTGCTCAACTTTTTGAAGCGAGCAACGCCAGCAAACGCTCCACGTCGCTTCCCAAAATACAGTTCTACTAAAAGTGACGTCACCCCATTCAAAGTGAATGGGCAGAAGCGTTTGGAAGCTGTAATGCACGCCACCGTGTGGACGGGCCGTCACAGTGGCTCTGCGCCAGAAACATCAAACCATAAATAAATAACAAAAAACATTCTGGAATATCACCCCTCCACTCCCATTAACATCCCTCAGCTAGCAGCTGCGCTATCTACAGATTCCGTGTTTGTTGACTATCTCCTGTCAGGGTTCTCCCAAGGCTTCAGGGTAGGGGTCCTCCCATCTCCCACAGTGACTTTCGTGGCAAGAAACTTACAGTCAGCAGCTAAATAACCCAACATAGTTTCCCAGCTCATCAACAAAGAACTTCTCAAAGGATATATAATCGGTCCTTTTAGCTCCTCCCCCCTTCT